GGGCTCAAAACTCTTTGTTGGTTCTTGTGCATTAACAAGCTTTTGAAGGTGCAGTGTGAAAGCCTCTTGAATCTTCCTTGCCTTTCTTGTAATAATTGCTCCTTTGATATATGTAATTGGTCACAAATGGATTCGTATCAAAATCAAAGGATGAGCCTTAACAGGCAGGAGTCCATAACTCATTTAGGATTGAGATTGAGTTACTTGGTCATCCTATTGAAATATTAATCTATCAGCTAACAGTATTACAGCTAAAGATTAATTATCTCGCTAAAACCGATCTTATACAAACTCATTGTATAGGATACCCCTACTCGCATGTCTCCACACGAACGACCTGGATCAAGTCATTTGTAACTATTACAAAGTGGGTCGTATCCATAGTGTTGCCAGGATAAGGTACCCAACCTTATCCATATACTACACCCTTTAGGTTACTACTAGAACATTATCCATCTGTATATCGATTATATATTGTATATATATACACTGTATATCAAATATATATGTTTTATATTAAATATATACTGTATATCTGTTATATACTGTTCTAGTTACATGACATAGCCTTGGATGTTAGTTTATTAGATTTGGGTTAATGCAATTCTATCAATAACAACTTTATCAAATGAATATTTGTTTTATGTTTACGAACCACGAGTTTAGGGCATAAAACCCAACAAACTCCCATTTGAACTAAACTCTAGTGGGGTGTACAAAAGCTAAAGGCAACGGTGGGTTGTACAATAAAGTACAAATACAATAAACTAGGGCATACACTACAATACCCTTTACAAGTCTCCCACTTTCCCTGGACTATATTGTACATATCTCGTAGGTCTAGACCTTCTAGAGGGCCCTTTAACACTTTAGACGTATGAGATATATGTGGGATATATGATTGAAGGGATGGGATCCCGCAGCGGAAGTGTGCGAACGCATGTGCTTCGATCTTGTCTTAGAATTACAACAAAGAAAAGACAATATAAGCATGAATAAAGGGAAGTCAGTGATACGTACCTTTGAAGACACCTCTTCTATATAGACATCAATGCCAACACAAAGTCTTGCTCGCTATCCCCTGGAAGTTAAGAACTCGGTTTGTGGGAACCGTCTTATAATTGAAAGGGAAATTGAGATCATTATTCAAGGTATGGATATCTACCTAATGCAACATACGTCTGAAGCCCTTGAAAAGTTTAAGGAGTACAATATTGAAGTTGAGAACCAATTAGGTAATACGATAAAGACACTTCGATCTAATCTGGGTGGAGAGTGTATGGACATAAGATTCTAGGACTATATGATAGAACATGGTATTACATCCCAACTCTCAGCACCTGGTACACCTCAACAGAATGGTGTATTAGAAAGGAGAAATAGAATCCTGTTAGACATGGTTCGATCTATGATGAGCTATGCTCAATTACCTGCCTCGTTTTTGGGTTTTGCAGTAGAGACTGCAGTATACATTTTGAAAACAGTTCCATCAAAAACTGTTTCTGAAACACCTTTTGAAATATGGAGGGGACGTAAATCTAGTGTACATCACTTCAGAATTTGGGGATGTCCAGCACATGTGTTAGTGACAAACCCGAAGAAACTGGAATCTCGTTCAAAAGTGTGCCTATTCGTAGGTTACCCCAAGGAAACTAGAGGTGGACACTTCTTCGATCCACAAGAAAACAAAGTGTTTGTATCGACAAATGCTATATTCTTAAAAGAAGATCACATTAGAGATCATAAACCACAAAGCAAGGTTGTGTTAAATGAGATTTCCGATGAAGCTACAAATACATCAACAAGAGTTGTTGATAAAGCTATCACTTCAACAAGAGTTGTTGATGGCGCTAGTACATCATGTCAGTCACATCCATCTCAAGAGTTGAGAGTGCCTCGAAGTAGTAGGAGAGTTGTGTCACAACCTGATCGTTACATAGGTTTAACAGAAACTCAGGTTGCATACCTGATGATGGCGTTGAGGATCAATTGACATACAAAAAGGCAATGGAAGATGTTGATAAGGACAAATGGATCAAAGCTATGGACCTTGAAATGGAGTATATGTACTTCGATTCTATCTGGGACCTTGTAGATCAACCTAATGGGGTCAAACCTATAGGTTGTAAGTGGATCTACAAGAGAAAACAAGACACCGAATGAAAGGTACAGACCTTTAAGGCTAGACTCGTGGCAAAGGGTTACACCCAAAAGGAAGGGGTGGACTATGAGGAAACCTTCTCCTCGGTTGCCATGCTAAAGTCTATAAGAATACTCTTGTCATTGCCACATTTTATGACTATGAAATTTGGCAAATGGATGTCAAGATTGCTTTTCTGAATGGCAATCTTGAAGAGAGTATTTATATGTCTCAACTAGAAAGGTTTGCAAGCTTAAACGACCCATTTATGGATTAAAACAAGCATCTCGATCTTGGAATATAAGATTTGATACCGCAATCAAGTCTTACGGTTTTGACCAGAATGTTGATGAGCCTTGTGTATACAAGAAGATCATCAACAACACTGTAGCTTTCTTGGTATTGTATGTGGATGATATCCTACTCATTGGGAATGATGTAGGTTTCCTAACTGACATTAAGAAGTGGCTAGCAACTGAATTCCAAATGAACGATTTGGGAGACGCTAAGTTTGTTATGGGGATTCAAATCATAAGGAATCGAAAGAACAAAACACTAGCCTTGTCTCAAACAACTTATATCGACACTAGCCACATTTTATGACTATGAAATTTGGCAAATGGATGTCAAGACTGCTTTTCTGAATGGCAATCTTGAAGAGAGTAGTTTTATGTCTCAACCAGAAAGGTTCATTAAGCAAGGTCAAGAGCAAAAGGTTTGCAGGCTTAAACGATCCATTTATGGATTAAAACAAGCATCTCGATCTTGGAATATAAGATTTGATACAGCAATCAAGTCTTATGGTTTTGACCAGAATGTTGATGAGCCTTGTGTATACAAGAAGATCATTAACAACACTGTAGCTTTCTTGGTGTTGTATGTGGATGATATCCTACTCATTGGAAATGATGTAGGTTTCCTAACTGACATTAAGAACTGACTAGCAACTGAATTCCAAATTAAAGATTTGGGAGATCTGGGATTTAAATCATAAGGAATCGAAAGAACAAAACGCTAGCCCTGTCTCAAGCAACTTATATCGACAAAATGCTTGTTAGATATTCGATGCAGAATTCCAAGAAAGGTTTACTACCTTTCAGACATGGAATCTCTCTATCTAAGGAACAATGTTCTAAGACATCTCAAGAAGTTGAGGATATGAGACGCATTCCGTATGCTTCAACAGTGGGCAACCTGATGTATTTCATGTTATGTACTAGGCCTGACATTTGCTATGTAGTAGGGATTGTCACTAGGTATCAATTAAAGGTATCCTCAAGTATCTTAGGAGAACGAGAAACTATATGCTTGTGTATGGTGATAAGGATTTGATCCTTACAGGATACACTGACTCTGATTTCTAAAGTGATAAGGATTTGAGGAAATCCACTTTGGGATCACTGTTCACTCTTAATGGAGGAGCTGTAGTATGGCGAAGCATCAAACAAGGATGTTTCGCAGACTCCATAATGGAGGTCGAATATGTTGTCGCTTGTGAAGCAGCAAAAGAGGCGATGTGGCTTAGAAACTTCTTAACTAATTTGAAAGTTGTTCCAAATATGACATTGCCCATCACACTTTATTGAGATAACAGTGATGCTGTAGCAAATTGCTGATCCGTTTACAAAGGCTCATACGGCTAAAGTGTTAAAAGACCGTCTAGAAGGTCTAGACCTACGAGATATGTACAGTATAGTCTAGGACAAGTGGGAGACTTGTAAAGGGTATAGTAGTGTATGCCCTAGTTTATTGTATTTGTATTTTATTGTACAACCCACTGTTGCCTTTAGCTTTTGTACACCCCACTAGAGTTTAGTTCAAGTGGGAGTTTGTTGAGTTTTATGCACTAAACTCATGGTTTGTAAACATAAAACAAATATTCATTCAATAAAGTTGTTATTGACAGAATTGCATTAACCCAAATCTAATAAACTAACATCCGAGGTTATGTCATGTAACTGGAACAGTATATAACAGATATACAGTATATATTTAATATACAATGTATATATTTGATATACAATGTATATATATACAGTATATATTCGATATACAGGTGGATAATGTTCCAGTAGTAACCTAAAGGGTTTATAGTATATGGATAAGGCTGGGTACCTTATCCTGGCAACACAATGGATACTGTTGTAATGCCCCGCATTACCTATAAGGGTATTTTTATGACTTTATATTATTATTGTTTTTTTAGGTAAGCTAGTCAAATCTAATTAGCTTTATGTCAATAAACTTTAATCAATCTTAGTTAATAATTGTAGGCTTCTAGTACTCTAACTAATTAAGCTCAAGTTAATTTTATTTACTTATTAAAAAGAAATTTACAACAAAATTTAGTGATTCATCTTATCAATGTTTAATTAATTATGTATGTTAATAAAACTAAATATGCATAAGAGATTAATAAGATTAGCGAGATTATAATTGTATTTAAGTAACAAAATTAACAATACTACTTTAGTAATTAGATAAATGTTGTGAAATATGGTAATTGTAATGGTAGCATTATTTGAGTATTTATAAAGTTTCATACATTTTATCCAAAGTTTTATTTTAAGGTAATTAATCAAGTAAAGCCCCATGTTACCTTTATTTTACTCTTTATTTTTCTACCTTAATTAAATTAACTTAATTGGGAGAATATAGAAAGTGTTACTTAACTCATAACCATGATTAGGCAATATAACTCACCTTCCACTAACCATGATTAGGCAATATAACCCACCTTCCACCCAAGAGACACATGTAGTAATTAGGTTAGTTAGGAAGACCAAAAAACACTAACAATCCCATTAAGTAATTGGCCATGCATGAGGAGAGACAAGAAGTTTGTTCCATCTTCCAAGATTCATGTTTGTTTCATCTTCCAAGCCATTCTCTTTAAGTTACCTATGTTTGTTTCATTCATTTTCCTCAAAGAACATTTCTAAAGAAATCTGAAAATTTCCTCTCAATCATCTATCCTATGTTTTAAATCACACCTTAGAGGAGTTGTGGTTGCTTTTCCAAGTCCCTTCAAGGATCGTTCATTGCGGTTTTGTCTTTTCGGTAAGAACGGTTTCTTTTAGTCTAGTTTTGTAAGTAGATTTTTCCTAATAATTTTTATAGAATCTAAGCATGTTCATATCCATTTTCTAAGGTTTCCATCATCATTTCAAGCTCTCTTAGTTGCTGGAAATTTTCTCTTTTTATTCTTTATGATAGAGAGGAAAACGCACCAACGGTAAGCATCATTCTTCCTTGTGTAAATTATTTTAAGGGTTCATTATTAAGATAAAATAGGTACTGTTTAGGCCTTATTTTTGTTGATTTGAGATCTGAAAATCCGAATTTAAAAAGTCCTAAAAATGTTCATAAAATGCCTTCATAACGGTTTTTAACGGTTTATGTTATTTTCATAGTTTTAGCTTGTTTAGTATCAAATTTTGGATTGTTAATTCTGACTTTTTGAGACCATGACCAACACCTTTAAACTAACCTAAAATGTATTTGAATGTATTAAAATTGATTTTTATGATTAGTTTTACCTACGGTTTAAAATTGTGAAAACTAGTGCTATGTGTTTTCTCTAGTTTTTTTGTAAACTTGCAAAATCAGTAAATTATTTTTATCGATATTATAGTATATAAATCAGAGGCTAATATGAAGATTTAAAATTACTTTTCACAAATTTATATATATATTTTATGATTATTATGGACTAGGTTAATTATTAATGGATTTCTACTAGTAGAATAGTGAACATATCTAGTTATGAGAACTTATTGGAGAAAGCTTAGTTTAGGTAATTGAGTCCTAATTTTAGTTGTGTTAATTGTTATTAGGAAGCTTTAAGGAATTTCTTTTAGTTTGCGAAGTTCAGGTAAGTGGATTCTATCATAAGTTACGGCCTTGTATGTTTTGTTGTATTATTGTTTGATTGTAAGTGAATTATGTTTTGTGTTGCATTGTTTTGTTATTGAATTATGTTATTCATGTTGCTTAAATATATTTTGTTATTGAATGGTGATGGTGGTTAAATTTTATGTAATGTTATGATTCTATGGCTTTCTCATGTCATTTTAAGTATGTTTAATAGCAAATCATGTTTAGGTAAAGCATGACATAATGTGTGATGCATTGCATTCGTAGTGAAGTTAGTAGTCTTATGTGTCATGGATTTWGGTAAGATTAATGTTATGCATGAAATACCCAAATTAARCAGTTATGTTATGCAGCTAGATTTATGATATGACATGTATGGTTTATGCTAAAGGCTGGGCCCTAGGAAACAAATTAGTTCATGTTAATGGTATTTATGGGGGTAATTACCCTATAAATATTACATGCGGAATTGACGGTTATGGTATGGGGTATTTCTGTATAGCATGGCGCCAAATTAAGGATTTAGATATGTAAGTTTATGCTAGCAAGCATAAGTATCTTAAGTTAAGTTGTTTGTTGGTTTATATGTTAGGTTGAGGTATGCATGCATATAAGCATGATGTGTGTGTTTGAGCATGAAAGGTTCCTTATGATGGGAACTACTTACTGGGTATTTTTTTTATACCCATTCCATGTTGTTTCAATTTTTTTTACAGATAGTTATATAGTTGACGAGAATAACGTCGAGGATGACCTGGGCATTGACGAGGAGGAGATATGAGACATAGTTGAATTTTATTTATAATCTATACTTTTAATTATGACTATACCACATTTTTACTTGTTTCATTTAAGGATAGTAACTTTGTAATTTCCACTGCTAAAGATTTATAAGTTAAGTATTATTAAGTTATCGTTTTCATTTTTAGATGAAAAATACAAGTTTTTATATTATTTTATTTTAATAAAATTATGTTTTATGAGTAATTATCTCAATCTTATATTATTAATGACATATAAAAAATTGGGGTCATTACAATGGCCCACTTTGTAATAGTTACAAATAACTTGATCCAGGTCGTTCATGTGGAGACATGCGAGTAGGGGTATCCTATACAATGAGTTTGTATAAGATCGGACCACGAAATAATTAATCTTTAGTTGTAATACCGTTAGCTGATAGATTAATATTTCAATAGGATGACCAAGTAACTCAATCTCAATCTTGAGTGAGTAATGGACTCCTGCCTGTTAGGGCTTATCCTTTGATTTGTATGGGTGAGAGTGGCCCGAGTCACTGACTCAATATGCCTACCTTTTGGGGACGAGACCGAGCGGGGAGCTGGGAACATAGCTACACAAGATGAAATTCACTCCTTCCCGACTTTAGGGTAAGTAGATGAGTGATCTCTTAAGTGCTGACTCTGGGACTTGAACAAGGGTCCCACTCTCTCACTGGCCCGAGAGAGACTTCCGGATATTGGTTGGACCATAACCGGGTTGTTCATTAGAGGATTAGCAATACTTAAGGCATAATATGTACCATAGGGGTAAAACGATAATTTGACCTAATGTGGTTACGAACACTAGTGAAGGATTAACGTACCAATAATGGTCAAAATCCATTGACGCAAAATATTCTACAGTGTGAATAGTGCAACTGTGGTCTTTAGTTGAGTGACCGATAGTTAACAAATGTTGATTAATATGGTTAATGAGTTTAATTAATTAATCTCGTATCGTTGGAGCTTCCGATCTATCGGCCCATTAGGTCCCCTTACTAGCTCGTAAAGGATGGTTAAGAATAGTTAGTCTTGGAAAAAATTTGAATTGTTCAAATTAGTTAAAGGGAATGAAAGTTAACTGCATGAGATGCAATTAATATAATATATAATGATACATTATAAAATAAAGTTAATTTTGAATTGGATTCAGAATTATGAGAGAGATGTATATTAGAATTTGATTATAATGTGGTTAATTAATTTAAGTATAATTTGATTAAATATGATTTAATTAAATTAATTAAATTAATGGGATATGTTGATTAATTTAATTAAATATGATTTAATTAAATTAATGGCTTACGTTAATTTGGTTAAGTTCAATTTAATTTAATTTAATTAATAATTCTTTTTCTAGTAATTAATTAAATATGATTTAATTAATTATTTATTTAATTAAATTAGTTTTAATTAAATTAAAATAAAAAGAAAAAAATGGAAATGGGAGAAAAAACCTCTCAATGGTGGAAACTGGGGAGGTTTTCCCACTTCCCACCATGGGTAAGTGATGAGTGGGGAAGTTGTGACTTTCCCACCACTTTTCCTCCCTTATAAAAGGAAGGCTCTCCCCTTCCATTTTGTTTCCACGATTCTTGAGAAAATCTCTCTCGCTCTCTTGATTTCCCTTCCAATTATAAGACAGTTCCCACAAACCGAGTTCTTAACATCCAGAGGATAGCGAGGAAGACTTTGTGGTGGCGTTGATATCTACATTGAAGAGGTCTCTTCAAATGTATGTATCACTAACTTCTTGTTATTCATGCTTATGTGTCCTTTCTTTGTTGTAATTCTAAATCATGATCGAAGCACACGAGTCTAGCCTTAAATGTAACGCCCCGCATTACTCAGGTTAGCTTGCCCCGAGTTCCAGGAAATTTTATAACAAAATGGATTTTATTTATTGATTTATTTCATTTTTTTTAATTTTATTTGATTCATCAGTGATCTTTATTTAATTTTAGTGTGGCATCTCGGCTAGTGTGTATTGTTACAGATTTAGTGGTGAGTTAGTAGCGTGTAGTATTTATTAAGTTATGTTTATTACGGATTCCGCTATGTGACACTTGCTCTGGGCCATTGGATCAACGACGAAATTATATTATTGGTTTTGTTAACAAGGTGTGATTGGGTAAATGGGCCTTAAACAAAAGAAACTAGCCCAAGTGGGTTTATGTTGCAAAACCAAAAGGAAAAGGGGAATTTAAAACAAAACAACCCTAGCCCGTCTTGTTCTCCTTCCTCATCTTCTTCCACCCTCCCCTTT